AACCCTAACTCGTATATCTTTCCAACCATATAGGTTACACCTCCTAGAAATACCTGAGTCAAATCAGTTTATTCTATGAAGTTGACCAAAAATCTGCACAATGGTGCTCCTTGGATAGTAAAGGGTTGTGCTTTCTTATTAGACCTTGAAGGTGTAAAACCCCATATGTTTACATTAATATATTAATGTACTTGTTTAGTGATTCTTCTATATGTAATGACTTAAGAATAAACCATATATATATTAAAATCGTAAGGATATCACCTATAGTAGTTCGAAGGAATAAAATAGAAATTTTAATGTTCCAAGTGTGAATTTATTTTAGTTTTGAAATAAATCATAAAAAAGCAATGTTTTTAGGCTAAAATAACATTAAAAATGAATCCGGAAACGTCGAAAAACCTTAGGGTAGTCGTATGGATCAAATTGGAGATTTCTAGTGGCAAAACTGTAATTTTAAAAAAACTCAAAATTTAGCCATGAACAGTGAATTGCGCGGACTGCTGTGTTTAAAACACAAAAATCCAGCCCATTTCTTCCATTTTTTCTCACATCGCTCACCCCCAAACCCCTTAGCACCCTTGGGGAAGATAGAGGAAAGGGAGAAAGGAGGTCATTAGAGCTTGGGTTTTTTGATTTGAAACTTTGATTCAAGGTAGGGGTTTTTCTTCCATGCTTGTCCATTGAGTCTAAGGCAAAAATATATATATGTTTTGACTCATACTTGTATGTATTTGCTAGGAATTCCTTGTTTCTTGGTTTTCTTGCAATTATGGCATGTCTTAAACAAAGTTAGGATTGATTACCCATGAAACTTCTTTTATAGCTTTAAAACCCTAGTTTTTGGGGAAATATGGAATTCTCTTTCTACATTTGCTCAAGCTTGGTTTTGAGAACTTTAGTGCTTTGTGTGAGTAATGAAAATGATGTAGTGGTGATCTCTTGTATTTTTCTTAATTGGTTATTTGGATTGTCGCATGATAAAATTTGGGGATTTTGATAATGGTTGCTTGTTGAGGGAAATTTGTGGATTTTATCTTGTATGTGATTGTTGGTATGAAAAGAGGATAATTATGAACCGAGGTTACTCGTAAGTATGCGGTTAAGTGTGGAATACTTGAAGGGGGGTAGAGGTTACTTGTAAGTATGCTACCTACCAAAAGAGGATACTTATGAACCGAGGTTACTTGTAAGTATGCGGTTATGTGTGGGAGACTTCAAGGGGGGTAGAGGTTACTTGTAAGTATGCTACCTACCTAAAAGGACATCTAACGACCGTGGTTACTTGTAAGTATGCGGTTATGGGAAACAAAGACTTGAAGGGGGTGGAGTTTACTTTTAAGTATGCCACCTGCCAAAGGAAATATAATAATTGATGGTGGAATAAGCGTTCCTTTTTGTATTATGGTGTTACTATTGCATTTCCCACAAGAGCTTGTGGAGGTATGAGACTCTACAAGAACTTGTTGGAAATGGTTATGGTTGCTCATTGTGACTTGGGTTTACTGTTCATTTAAATTATTGCGAATGTTTAAACTTGAGATCTGTTTCAAATGTCACGGTTTTACTTCAAATGTTATATGATATTTTGGAAAATAAGACCGAACTGTTTTACTTGTTTTCTAAACCTTGTATGAGTATGGAAGGAATGTTGCTACAGAGCTTAGTGCTCATCCCCTACAAATAATATCTTTTCAGATTTCGTCTATGAGGAGGAGTTACAAGTAGATGAACCAGTGCATGGGGAAGCTCCCCTAGAGGGGAACGAGGGTCCTGAACTGGATGCCTAGAGTTATATTTCTTTTGTACTAGACTAGAGAGTTTATTTTGAAATCATGTAAAGTCTAGTATTTTGTTATTTCACTACAAGTGTAATTTAATTCTTTTGGGAATATATTTGTCATACTTGGCCTATTCTTTTGGGATGGCATGGTGGATATGACATATGATGGATAAATAGACCCGGTGTGGTCAATAGTTATGCATATGTGGACCCGGTGTGGTCAATTATAATATAATTGTACAGGTTGTGTTTTGGGTAAAGCTCCCCGTACAAAGGAGACTCTGCCCAAATTTGTTAAAAATATGAATGGTTGATGAATGAACTTTCATCGTGATGAATTTACGTAATGCTCTCATGGGGTGAATGGTTTTTAGAATGTAATGTCACCCAAGGGGGTTTTTGGGGCGTTACATGTAATGAGGCCGTCAAATATGCAATATTATGTGCTCATCAACCCACATACTCTAGGATGGTCTTGACCCCAGGAATGTTATGTAGGGACACCGGGGTGGGGGAGGTGGTCTCTCATACTTCATGAGGGTTGGCAATCATAGTTGGGGTCACATCAAAAGTCTTGCCCCTCACATTAGATCTCAAAATCTTTGCATCCTCGTCCACCACCTTGAGTTTTTGGTAAAACTCCTGACATAATGCCAAATTGAACCCACTCACAAGCTTAAACCAAATTCCAATCCCGTGGCCCTCAATGATCCTCACAACCTCGTTGTTCTGACCGAGAGATATCCTATCCAAAAACTATTCACACGTTACATTATTTTCTTTGATGCTTTGGTACCGAGTATCTTTCCTAGCTTTCTTTCATCGCTCACTTCAGTCTCCACTCGACCCCTCCCTGCTTTTGTTGCGAGCAATATCACCCTTAGGCTGAGGAGAACTTTGCACAGTGCGCTTGGTGTGGGTCATGCAAAGCAATAGTGCCCCACACACCAAGAGTGACAAAAGAGCCAAAACTAGGTTTTAAATGATGAAATTCACAAATCTTTAATAAAATCTACTCAATTAACAACCCTAGGAGTGAGAAATGAGAGATTAATGGCAATTGGTGAGGGATTTTTAGGCTTAGAGATTCTTGGAGGGAGAGAGAAGTGTCTTAGAGTTTGTAACTTAGGGAGACAAGAAATAGTTCTCCCAAAAAACATCTGATCAAAGCCCTTAATTTTGGCATTCTAGGCAAAACCTACCTGTAGGTCAATGCCAAACCTACCGGTAGGTTTTACTCTAGTGAGCAAAAACTACTGGTAGTTTTTTGGTAGGTTTAGGACCAGTGTGCAAAACTTACCGCACTACAAGAATTTAGGGTTTTTGGGTCACTTTTTTTTGCAACGGAATATTTAGTTACAAAAATATATTTTTTTTCAATGGTTCTTGATGCTGATATTTAAAATGGTATATTTGGAATAGGAAATCATTGTCGTGGTAAAAAGTAAAATTTTTTTTTAAAATTTTATCTTTTTGTGTTGATTTTTTTCCTGTTGTACATGGCTAAACCAAAACGACATTTTATTAGCATGAAATTGTTTAATATAGCTGATTATTAAAAAGGGTAAATTATATTAACACTCCCTGTACATTGTCACTAAAACACCCTCCAAAGTTTATATGTGTGTAACACATAGATCCTTATCATTAAAAACTATTTGAAACATTGTCAAACTTTGATTATGTTATCATATTTTAAGAATTTAATTTCTAAAATACCCTTATAGAAATAATTAAAACCAATCCACTTAATTCTGTCAGTAGGCGGCTGCTATTGATAGGGAGTGTCAATATAATATATCATACCTGAGGAGATATGTGTGTTTTAGTGACATAATTCAGGGGGTCTAGAAGTAATTTACCCTTTTACTTTATTTTCATCCAATTATCAGTCACATGCCTCTTCTCTCTTCGCACGTCTCCTCCTTTTTCTCCAGCTACGACTCTCCACTCTCTCTTGCTCCCTCTAGTTCTCTCTCCATCTGTCACTAAAAGCGAGCAAGTCCAAGAACTTGAAGTCAAAGTAGCCACTCCATTGCCAAGAAAAAGGAGTACAAGAACAAGAAGAAAGACAAAGGCGGTGGCAAATAAGGGAATAAGAAGAAAGAGGCCAAAGACAAGCCAAAAGAGAAAAATTCCAAGGAGGTTAGTTACTACTGCTTCACATTGATTTTCTGATTCCTCTAAATTTCTTGACGGATTAGGCAACATATACATCATCTGACTACCCAATTCAACCAAAATAAAATTGATTTCCAATGAAATCATTTTATTTTTTCAGATCGATTATGTGTGATAATCCTATATATTGAATTATTTTGTAATTATAATTGTTTCAATGTGTTATGTATAATTGTGCCTCCACGTGTTTGTTAAATTGTCCCTGAGATTAATTGGAAAAGATACAAATGAAGAACCCCGAAGAAGGTGGGCGGGGTGGAGGCACATCATAATCCAAGTGCCTCCTTGTACCAAGGGAGAGAAATGATGTGTTTTTAATGGTGTGGGAGTGTTCATTGATTTCAATGGGGGTGTAAGAATATGTTGAACACTAGAGTCCGGACAACTTTGCAGTCTATGAAAGCTCCAATGAAGAATGAAAAAGTAATCACACGCTAGTACTATTTCATTAGTTATTAATTGAAATCTGAACTATTATCTTCAATTATTTTACTTGGTTTTTGAAAAATAGTTTACTTTTACTGTAGAAGGTCTTGGAGTTGGGAACAAAATTTGCTATGTACTTATTCACAAATTTGCTATGTACTTTTACTGTAGAAGCTAATGAGAATGAAAAATTGCTATTTTCGCCTTAGAAGCGAAAATATTCCAGAGAATTGAAAGTAAGAGAAGCATAAAATGGGTTTTCAAAACTAATCTGAATGATGAAAGAAATAATTATGTTTTTTCTGTTTTCATGTAGGTTAAGTGATTTTGATTTCCCAGCCCATAAAATTTTCTTGGGAAAATGTGCCTTGACAAAATTAAAAAGTTGCTTACTTTAATTCTTAACTGCATGAGCATTTTCACTTCTATTCATTTCTTTATATATCTATCATCCTCTATGCAGTATCCTTTTTGTTTGCTTAAGGAAGCTGATTGTTGTATTTCAATTGTTTCTGATTGCTTGAAGGAATAGGTAAAAATGCAGAGAAGCAGGGTATTGGATTCTGAGAAATCGACCACAAGTTGACGTTGTTCGATCAGAGAGAGAAAAATGGCATTGCAACAAGATGTAAGATGGTGGATATCACTACCATTGTCATTTGAATATAATTTTGTTTCCCATTTTAATGTTGTATTAATAGTATCATACATGGATTTTAGGTTGATAAACTCAAGAAGAAGAAGTTGAGACAAGAAGAGAATGTTCACAGGGATTTGGAGAGGGCATTTTCCAGACCTTTGGGAGCTCTATCTCACCTTCCTCCTTATCTTTCTTCTTGTGTTAGTATTTTACTCTCTCATCCTTTCTCTCTCCCCAATTCTTGTTTGTTTGTTTGTCTGTTATCACCCTATTCAACAATAATTGTAGTAGAAAGTGACATTGAAGGTTTCCAAAAATTGAAATATAAAAAAGTACTAAGAATTTTAGTGGGTGATGAAATAAATTGCAAAACATAATTGGCATGGTTGAAAATACTTGTGCAAACGCAACAGAAGTTATAACCCAATTCCAGTTCATATTCTATTTGCTAGCCATATAATCTTCTACCTCAAATTTACTGTATATGAAATGAGATTGTAATTGTGTCGATTTCTATAGACATTGGACCCTCTTGCTGAAGTAACTATTTTGGAAGAGGAGGTTGTGCGGCTTGAAGAACAGGTTGTGCATTTCAGGCAAGGATTGTATCAAGAAACTATCCACATTTCATCCTCCAAGAGGAACATGGATGATTCAGTTGATTTATACGACCCATATCACATTAGTGATTCCAAACACAAGCAATCCAAGTCGTTATTGCAAACTGAAGCCAATTCAGCAACATTTGTGGGGAGGCATTGCACTTTTCTCCTTGGTAATGCATTGAAGTTGATCCGTGTTTGCTTCGCTTGTCTTATGCATTTATGTATTCATGGTTTACTTGAGTAGAAATATGAATAAGCTTTGACAAAGTCTTCAACTTATTTCTTCAAGTGATGCAAAGGGAAAAAAGAATCAATCATTCACTAACGCCACAAGAAACAAGCATCAATCAGCAAATTTGAAAGCCTAGACTATCAGAACTCTGGTTAAAAGACCTCCCATCGAGTATTGATCAGTAGATAAACGTTCAAATCATAAAAAATTACAGGTGCTAATGTAATTAAATTTCATTATGCTGAAAGTTATACATCTATACAGGGAAATGAACATGGGTTTCTAAATTTTCAGCTAGAAAACAACGTAATTGACCTTGAAAGTGCAGAAAGGAGGACTCAGCCTAATCAGGATGAAATATTGTCAGATGATGATGCTCCAAATAAGATTTCAGATAGCACTTTCAAATGCTTATCAATCATTTTCTTAAGAATGAGATCAAAAAAGGGTAGGAGTATGGTAGAGCGCTTACCTTCATTAGCGACACTAACTTCATCGGAAGGCTTTGAGGGTACAAAGTTTAAGCATCCTTGTGGTATCTATTCACAATTTGGGAAGAGAGACATGCGTCCTAATAAGCATGTATTTGCAATTGAAGGCACCTCAATCAATCCAAACCAAACAACAATTTCAGTGTTCTTAGTTCATAGATTGAAGTAAAGTTACTTGCATAACTTGAGTGGTTTCTTATTCTCTTCACTCTTTTTTTTTAATTTGAGTATATCTACTTGGGGTTAAATATAGTGTCTCCTATTTTCTCAAACTCCTACTTGGGAAACTTCCATTAGTTGACTTACAGTGCCTTAACCATCAAGAGAAGCTTATTTTTTGGATCAACACTTGCAATTCGTGCATGATGAATGTATGTGAAATCATTCTATGAACATATTTAAATAAACTATGTAAGATATATTTTGGATAGTCCTCCATATATCGGGAGTCATTGGATTGGTTGGTGCATTCATTTTAAATCTTATGCCATGTTTGTTGTGTGTTTGGTATAAAAGAAAGAGCAGCTAACTATCTATAGAATGCTTCAGGCCTTTCTAGAAAATGGAATACCAGAGAGCCTTGAGTTGGTGGTTGCACTGATGCAAAAGGTATTTCCAATCTACCCAATCCTTTCATTCATGCATTTATATTATCATATTTTGTATCCTAACGTTGGACCTAGCTGTATTATTACTGAATACATTAGTCCAAGCAATTCAATCAGCTTACAGACTAGCTTGCTTTTTATTATTCCTTGTAGCTGCTATTTGCAAAACATAAACAATTTGTATGTATGCACATATTGATCATGTATCTGGACATTTGTGATTCTATTGTAACTTAACTGGATATTCTCATGTTGCCACATGGTAGGAGGAATTCACACATCGACTCTCTGAGGTGCCAAGATGGAGTAGACTCTAGATATTTGGGGCAGGAATTCACAAAACTTTTATACTGACTAATGTAGTGTTGCCTTTTTTTTTGTAGACATGTGTTGTTAGGGAGGAAAAGAGAAAGCATAGACTAGGTCTGAACAATACTGAGGTAAGTGCATGTGTATGGTAAATATAGTTTATAACAATGTGTGATACATAGATTTACAATTGTAATTTTTTTTTTCAATTGTATTTGTTTTGGCTTCTAACAGTTGTTAACACCTGTGGTTGTAGGTTCATACAAAAATAGACCTGCTTAGTTCTCATTTACCAAGGCAAGTAGTGGTGAAAGGGATCCTTGTTATTGTGACCTGATTTTTTGAACGTGTATGTTAAAGAAGCAATAGTGCCTAATACTTATTTGATAAGACCTTTTCTTGGTGTAATTATTGTTGGGCAAGCAATGGGAAAATTTGTTGTTTGGCCATCTAGTGATGTATGTTTTATCTTAATTAATATGTATATAATTAGCAACCAAACATATTATTGACAATAATAACAGAAATCGTATTTTTTGTAGGTGCTATCAAATGAGTAAATAACACTGAGAGTAGATGATGCATGGGTAGAGAGTACACATTGTGCATGATTAAAGAGCAAATGGTGCATTGGGAGACTAAATTTTTTTATTAAGCATTGACACTTTCATTACTAAGTTTGGAATATTTTGTTTTGAAAATTTAGGATGCTATTTACTTATGTTGAATATATTTTTATTTTAAAATTTAGATGTTTTTGTTTTGAGAGATATGCCTTATGATTTTAATCAAATGATGTTATGGGTAATGTATTTGATATGTAAACAGGTGTAGAGAAACATGTGAAAGAGAGAATTAGATTTTAACAAAAAAAATATTCATGAAAGCAATTTACTGATGCAAATAACATCAAAAGAGTAATATCATTTTTTTTGTCAGCCTATTGGTATGGCAAATAATATATTTTGCGACAATTATAAAACATTGTAAATGGGTTAGTTGAGGCTGTCTTTTACTGTGGCTAATAATATCTTTTGTTAAAACTGTTGTAAATGAGTTTACTACGACAGTCCCCTACTATGGCTAATAATATATTTTGTGATAGATTTTAACCGTTGCAAATGGGGTTTGAGGCAACGTTCCCAAACTGGGGTTAATAAAACCTTTTACAATGGATTTAAACCATCGCACATGGGTTTTTGTGACAAAAAATAGCTGATACAAACAAAAAATGTCGAATCTAAGGATTTTTTGCGACAACACCTTTGCATCAGGTTTTGGCGATCTAAAAGCTTTTATGACGGCTAATTGCCGATGGAAAATCGTTTGCATAGCCTATTACTTGCCAACCCCAATTTGCTAAGTCAAAAGATCACGTTGCTATCGCAAATACTATTTGCAACGGCAACATGATCTTTTGAGTCGACAAATTACTTATGCAAAAAAACCATTTTCATGTAGTGCCAGTAGGTTTTCACTTATTTGTAAAAATTTGTGCTCTCCACTTCACTTCAACTCCTACATATATAAGCACTCTAATTATGACTTCTACTCCACCAAAACATGTGCTACACTTGTAAACAATGATTTGAACCATCATGCCCTAAGTCAATACCGAAATTGCAATATGATTTACAATCTTGATGCTTTCAAAACACAATGTATATATTTCTACATTTAACTACCAAAATGAACACCAAAAATGTATGGGGCTACTTAACAAGGGCATTCCTAATTACCACAAATATCAAAAGCTTGAGCAATATTCCCTTATCCTGAAAGCATGGGGCTACTTAACACATCGTTCAAATGCATGAACCAATCACACATGAGCATCACCATAGCTTTAAATACTAGTCTAGAGCATGTTCCTACAAATTCATTTTCAAACTCATGTGTGTGTCAATTGGATATGTAATTTAAGCATTTACACAACAGAATTAGCATTCGACTGGCTAGCCAAATTTAGCTTCAATGTAAAACTCACCAAAAGTCTCTCTTAATGATGAATCACACTAGTTATCCTGGCATGCTTTCCATGTGTACACGTGAGATAGAATCTTATGCCCAAAATGAAGTGTGCTCACATATAATCCACAAATGAAGTTCATGCATGAAAATGGAAAAACAAAATGACATAATCTCATGAAGGGCATTAGATAGCAAAACCAACTTCTATTTTCTTTAAAAATATGCATCCCCCATGCTTTTCTAGATCATTTAGGACTTTCACGGGTTGTAATGAGGCATTGGGGTGACATCTACGTAAATGAACAAAGGATAGCCGATAACAAAGAGGGTTCTTCTAAGTGAATAGCTTTTGTTTCAAAACATCTCCCTTTTCATGGGCTTTTCAATCTAACACCATCACCACACTCTCAGTTTTTCTTTCTCTCTTTTCCTTAACATTTTCCTCCTATTTTGTCATTATTTTCTTCTTTTCACCCCTTGTTCTCCTTTTCTTGAATTTTCATTATTTTCCATTCAACTCTTTGAATTCAACTTCAATTCATCTCTTTTGTTGATTTTCCACACCATACTTCCTTTCTTTAATGATCACTCTCATAGTCAGCTCTAGCAACAATCAAGGTGAGGTAGACTTTTATCATTCTGCACTAACTTGGTCAAATGTTTGGTATGGAAACGAATTTACAATTAAGTCTCAATCATGGCATGAGGGATAAAATTTCAAAAGAAACAGGCTAAGGCTCAAAGTAAATCAAAGATGGCCTTAGATCCTTTCTGAATGGGCATGGGGGAGCACATTGCATTTCAAGATAAAGTCAATCCACTACCCAAATGCATCTAGCCAAAATAAGCATAATGAGATTATTGAAGAAATTTGAAATTGAAAAATTGTTCCTTGAGTAAATGTAAATTCCCTCCAACAAGGTTTGACTCTAAAGCTCTCATGGGTCCTTATTCATCTCCACTATTCCTGTCAAACACTAGTATATGAATCCAATTCGTAAATTGCCAAAATTACACATTTAAGGTGCACGTATGGTTGAGTTCAAAAGCACATACATATGTGATACTCACACATAGGATGAACTTCTATAATGTGCTCATGTGCTCAAGGTTCAAAACAAATATCAACAAACCTATAGCACTCTAAATAAGGGAATACAGATCAACATTCAAATATTTTTCTCAAAAATTTTCAAAAGTTTTACATAATTTTCAACTATTCTAAATAAAAATATGAGTGATATGTGAAGGTGAATTTCACCCCAAAAATTGGTATTATCAACAAAAATTTCCACAAACATTGGTGTATTATACTAATGGTGCACCTCACCCCCTCAACTTGATTCATGCATTGTCCTCAATGCAACAAAAAAGATATGATATGCAATGAAGGATTGTAAAAATACAAGTAGGGTTAGAGAACACCTCGCACTTGAGCTTTGACAAAAAAAAAACACTAATATCTGCAACTTAAGAAAAATTGCACAAAGATAAAGTAGGTAAACCTAAATAGATAAAGTAAAAACAACTGTACACTAAAAACCATAAGAACCGTTAATCCTCCAACAAGTCCAAGAAACTTGGATCCACCAATTCTTCCTCCACCCCTTGACCTTCAAACCTATCAAAGAATAGCTTAAGTCTTTGGCAATTCATCTTGAATGTCCTGCCATCCTCGGGGTTTGTGATTTCCACAACTCCATTGGGGTAGGCCATCTTGACAAGATAGGGGCCATCGTAGTGGGATCAGAGTTTCCCTTGAAAGATTGAGATATCAGAGTTGTATAAGAGCACTTTTTGGTCGGGCTCAAATGAATTCCTTACAATGGATTTTTCATGAATGATCTTAGCTCACTCTTTTGAAATTTTAGAGCTTTCATATGCATCTCTTCCAATTCATTCATTTCTAGCTTCCTATGCTCTTCGACCAATCTCAAATTGAAGTTTAAAGTCTTTATGGCCCAATATGCCTTGTGTTCCATTTCAATTGGCAATTGTCAAGCATTTTCATAGACGAGCTAATAAAGAGACATACCTAGGATGGTTTTATAGGCAGTGCGGTAAGCCCATAGGGCATCGGTCTGTCTAAATGATTAATCTTTCTTATTCAAGTTCACCATTTTCTCTAGGATATTTTTGATCTTCCTATTGGCCAACTTGGCTTAGCCATTGGTCTATGGGTGATATGCGGTGGATACCTTGTGTGTGACACCATACTTATGCATCAAAGATGTGAATGGTCTATTACAGAAATGCGACCCACCATCGATTATCAATGCAC